TGCACACACAGTGTATATACACACACACACACACACACACACACACACACACACACAGAGTCTTAACCCTAATTGCACACACACCCGGAGGAATGCTTATTCAAACTATCAGGCGCACACGGCCGCAGAATTACTGTGGCCCGCCAAAACTCACTGCTGCATGCCTCCACACGAGGGTGTCTACTAACCATTAACTCACACAAGCGGACTCCAAGGAAAGAAAAAAAAAATTGTACATGCATAGGACATGAATGCGGTTGATGTAATTACACGCATTGGCAGTGCAACAGAAATCCAGACGCTGTACAGTAAACTCTCCGAAGGAACTGAGCCCTGAAGCATATAACAAAAAAACAAAAAAGCGTGAAAAACCGTCCTGTTAAAAACGGGGGTTGGCACCCACCCACAAAAACAAACAAGGGATATTAATTTTTTTGAACTTTTTCATGCACCCTGTAACCTGATAAGGTGATAACCTGTCCACTGTAGTAACCGCTGTCCCTGAAAGGGTTAATATTGAAAAAAATTAATCTAACAGGAGTTCAGAACATTCAAAGGGAGACAGACGTTTCCTTAAGAATGAAAAAAAAAAAAAAAAGGGCTTTAAATTCGAATTGGGCCCGCAACGTAAATCCTGGCTGATCTTGTTCTTTGGACAGAAATCTTCAGAGAAAGTCGCATTACAGCAGAAGCAAAAGCGACTGGCCTGAAACTTCCATTTTCGGTCATCCCGTTCACGACATCTTCTCCACTCACTGGCCTCCGGACGCCACTCTGCTCGCCTCCCCACAGCTCTCCATCGCCCTCCCCCCCCACACCCCCTTCCCCTTGTAACCTGTTTTCTGTTATCACTGCTTAATGCCTCACCCCGGGAGATGGATGGGAGAGAGTGAGAGTGCGCGTCCTCTTCAGGTGGAAATTCTTGCGTTCATATGGTTATGATTTGGGCAGCAAGGTCAGGCTCCAGTTTTCGCTGGAAGGCTTGCACGCTTTGTTAGCCACGTGACAGCCCGCCAGTACTTCATCAAGGTGATTCTTCCCCCCACAGACGCATTTTTATTGACTTACAAATAAGAATTAGAGCCCCCCCCCTCCAAAAAAAAAGGGATGTGATTCTAAATAATAGATTAGCAGTATGTCATTCGCTAACCACTTTTAAAAACCGTCAACGCCGGACAGCCGATGCGCCGGCATGGCAATAGCAGGCGGACAGTCACTTTTCTCACAGCTCGCAAATCCGCCACTCGGCACCCCCCCACTCCCCCCCAACAAAAGCTGCCGCACGCCAAATCCTCAGCGCCTCGCGATCCCGAACCTGAGCCCCAAATGAATTCAAGCTGGAGTGACGAGGTTACGAGCAGGTTACATGGTATGCAGGAATTTGGGGAATAAGTCCCCTGATATTGGATTCGGAGGAATCGGACCATAGAGTCAGCGAGGCCTGGCCAACAACCGAGCTTGTGACCTCTGCCAAGGCCTGAACCAATCCTAATTTGGATCAACACCAAACCTGAGGTGCAATACTCACTGTGACATGAAAGAAATATGCTTGAATATATTTTCAAAAAGTCCGCGTAACCTTCTGTAACTGAACCGGAATTAATTCGTTTGCTTTGATATCCATCGGAATGCTCTCGAGTATTTTGGTATTCGGATATTCGACTAAAAATTCTATTGAGAAATCGATTATTCAGATTTTTTGAAAAATCTTAGATAAACAATTATGAATGCAAAAATGAAAATAACACGTATTGTTTTGTTAAAAAGGGACCGATAGGAACGGCAACGGTGTCAACATGTCAGCATCAAAGTTTGCAGAGTCATGATCGACTCTTAAATTACCTTTGAGAAGAAGTCTGACGGCTCTTGCCCGGCTGCTTAGCAGGCGTTCGCTTAGTGGCTAGCCATGAACCGCTAACTCCGGTCACGGAATCATACGATTTCAGCGTCATTAATTTGAGGTTATTTCGCCTCCTGAATAAGCGATTGAACATGATTTCATGAGCCTGACGCTCTGATGTTGGTGGCAATAGTTTGTGACGTAAACGTAAACGAACCTGCGTGTCCGGAAGACCAAGTCAAATAGGCCGCAACGCTGCCAGGAACAACGTCAAAATAAAAGTGTAATATCATTGTATCATTCTGACTAATTTTATTTTGAAATTGGAACTTCCCATCATGCATAGCATGAACGATTGCTGCCTGGCTTGACTGTCTTTTTTTCCTGTACGCGATGTCCCAATAAATGAATAAATGAATAAATGAATGAATGAATGAATGAATAAATTAATAAATAATCTTCAATCATATTTTAAATCAAGGAACTCGAATTACTCCAGGCCTAATTTCACTCCTCATTCCGACTGTCCCACCAAAGACCAAAAATTTTAAAAAATTAAAAAAATCAATCCAAATTGTGTCACTTGAAACAAGCAGTGCCTATGAGACACATAACTGACCACAGAATGGCTGTAAAGTACCCCGTGATCTTCTCAATATGAATCCAGATTCTCCAAGTAAAGAACCGAGATTTCAGGACAATACCAGGCAGCGCTGCGTTCGCGCTCTCGAAGCAGGCCAGTTGCAATCCCATCTGAGCCGGATTTGCGGATCCCGGCGGCCAGAAAGCGTGCAGGAATGCGCGAGCTGCGAACACGAAACCCGCTATCATCTAAAGGACTCGTCATCGTACTTATTCACGTTCACGTTAAGCGTCAAAAGCGGTCCAAGTCCAATTTCACCTCGGGACCATCCATCATGTCTGGCAAACAGGAACAGGAAGTGGAGGCCTTTGCTTCACTAGATTAAAGCTTGGCCGGGGAAACAAGTTGCAGCGACTACAAAAACGTATTCATCGCTGATTCTCAGTGCAACACAGTTTTCCCTGCCACTGAGCTCATACGCTCTTGATCATTTGGAACCATCGTGCACGCGTTGCGGCCAGAACTGACGACACAAAGGATGTGTTCGGAGAAGGACGGGATGAAGCTCACGATGTTGGGAGACGACTCCTTGAGAGACACTTAAACAATTAAGAAATCCATTAAACGCAGGCATTTACACGCCTGTGGCGGCGACATGCATATTTCACACTCGCCTCGAACAGGAGGCGGCTACGATATGGTTGGATTTCAAGCGCGTGAATATTTCATGGCCAAACGTATGCGCAAATGGTGTTTGATGTAACCCTTGTGCTGCAATTTCTACGATGTTTGTAACACATGGGTTACCCCATATGTTACAATTTCTACAATTTTTGTAGATTTTATCGTATTGTCATCTTTAAATCAAAGACACAGCATAAAAAGTGTGTGATATGAAATATTCCAATTCATGTTTTATTTATATAGATTTATATTCATGTTTTGGTCATGGGACAATACCGCTTTTATTGTCCATAGAGGGCAAAAATACAAAGGGCAAAAATACAATGAAAAAAATAAGAACTATATGTGTATGTATAGCACTGATGCCACTGAACATGTCGAGTGGTTGAAAGTGAAATAAATATTCAGGAATAATACTTTTACAATTTTTGTAAAATTGTATGTTGCGTTATATAAACTTATTTAGATCGACTGCAGCACATGGGTTAAGCTGATGGGGGAGTTGACATGCGATGCGGGGAATGTTTTACGTTTATTTAACATAGTGTTTTGAAAAAGAAAAAAAAAAGTATGACATCACCTGTCAGAAACCGGAATCGAGTGGCCGGCGTCATGCGAACACGCTCACGTTCTCGTTTAATCATTTTTGAACCGGATGAAGGAATTTCAAACTGAATTCACCTCTTTGTATAGAAATTTGAGCCCTTGGTGATTCCCACCCCTGTCCTCCAAAGATACACACACACACACAGTGTTTTACACCCCCATTCCCACCCCCCAATGCCAAATCCCCCCTGATAACTGACTTCAAAGTGCAGTTGCCAATCCTACAGCTTTATCCGCCGAGCCGGTAGCATCGCTTTCTCATGGCCCCCGCCGCCACTCCGACATTCACTTTGATTCCGACGACAAGCAAGTCCCAGTCTCAGTCTCCAAGTGGGGCCACCAAAGCTTCAGCTGCTCTTATCTTAACTTGTGCCGACATATCATGATTGGAGTAGGAAAAAAAAAAAAAAAAAAGATTCAAGGCAGTATTAATGGGGGCCGCCCCCTTTGTCGTCCGACGCCGTTACACTGATCGCTGTAATGAGACTTCTGGTTCTCTGGCTGCACATTCGCCTTCCTCTCTTTCAAAGCAGCATGGCCCGAATCCTCCCGTCGATGCTGCCCAAGCGTCCCGCGAGAAGTCTCTCAAAGACGCCCTAATTGAAACTGAGAAGCATCCCGCCCGCTTTTCAGGAACTTTTATTTACCTCACAAAGGGGCTCGGATATAATTACCGCCTCAAACGGAATTCCTTAAGCTGTAATATCCTGTGCCGCAAACTGAAAATGGCTCCCGGAATCCGGTGGTGGCTTTTTTTTTTTTTTTCAAGGGTCCGGGGAAATTGAATTTTACTTCAAGGTCAGCGACGCTAATGACGGCGTGCGGGGCACGGGTCGGGCAGCACGGCGGGGTATCGATCCGCACGAGAGGTTCTGGCCCTGGATTGATTGTCACACATAATTGTTGGGGAGCGTGGCGCAAACCACCGGTGCGTTTTTTTTTTTTTTTCCCCTAGAAAATTGGGACCCACGGGAATCGGGTTAGCACAGAGTGATATAAAACAGTCCGGAAATGGACCAATGTAATCGATACCACAGAGAAAAGGAACAAAAAAATGTTCTGGTGTGGTTTTTTGCAGGCATTTGGCACCCGCAGTGATCGGCACAAGACAAATGATTTTCAGCCGCTCGGAAATGGAGTGGCGGTCTGATGTGAGTGAACCATCGTGATCGATACCATCAAAGAAAACAAAACGGCTTCCTGCTGTGGTCTTTGGAGGGAATTTGGGAGCCACACGGAAGGGGTGGGCGCAAAAAAACACTTGGTGTTTATACAGTCAGTCTAAGTCAGTGTTCTCCAACTTTTTATACCAAGCACCACCAATTTTACGTGAAAGACTTCCAAATACGCATATCAACAAAAACACGACAAAGTTGTGATATACAGTCGATGCCCCCCCCCGCCCCAAAAATGTTTGCAGGTATGGAGATCGCGAATAGCATGTCTGTGTAGAATTGATATAAAAAATGGAAACGTTTTTTTCCATGAAGGGGGCAGAAAAATCCCCTACCACGCAAAAAAAAAAAAAAAAAATTTAAAAAGTGAATAAATTGGCGTAAAAGGTAAATATTGTACCCAAGTAAGAGTTTCAAAAATAATCATCCAGATTAAATGCAGATGTACTGAATTTAAAAGTTGAATACAACTGAACTTCACTAGGCCATTGAATCATATGTGCACCACTAGGGGGAGCCCGAGTACCACTGTTGGTACTAGCGCCACATGTTGAAAATCACTGATCGCGATATTATGATCACAATAAATAAATAAATAAAGTTCCATGCCGCTCGTCACAACCACAAGTGCGCAGTACATGAACTTGACATTTCGCAGGCTCAGTCCTGGGCGCATGCGCACCAAATCGCCGATTCATTACTTGTCTGTGGGCTGGTTACGTTGTGGCGGGCAGTCATCCCACAGCATAAGCGAATGAGTGCCCCCCCCCCCCCACAAGTGGAAACATTTAGACACTCGAGTGTGTCCCGAGGTGAGAAGCCGGAGAAGCTCTCGCTCATAAAAGGCAGCGGGGAAGGCAAGCCTGCAAAGGAAGTGAGCCAGGCGGACGAGCGCGACACACACATCGGAGGACCTCACACGTTCATTTTGCCATAGAACGCATTTGGCGTCCGTATCCTGCCCCCCTGCCTCAATACAGGTCATCAGGCGACTAGGGTTAAAAAGGTGAAAATGACCCCCAGTGGGATCCGGTGCCTGCCACCTGCTGGAACTCACCATTAAATCCCAACATAATGTATGCAACAGACGGCGTTTAAACCCCCCGCCTCCACCCCATTTCCAAAAAGTGTCGTCGGTAGCGCGGCGATTCACATCTCCTCCCTTTTGATTCCCAGTCACCTTGCGGTTGACTAACCAGGGTGTCCGCTCCCTCGTATCGGGACAGCGGCAATTCTTTCATTTTGTCTGTGTACTGCAAAACAAAAGTATTGCAGCAGATACAAGAGAGAAAAGTCAGCACGACTCAAAACGGGAATGAGTTTTCAACCGTCACTTTTTTTGAGTCATTTGTTTTGCTGCGTTACTCCCACCGGCCTCCTTTTGAGTGGGTAAAACGCATACTCTATCGGGTTTACGTCTTGAAAATCACTTCCGTCTCTTGAGGGTTACTCCCCTCTGTCACCTCGTTTACAGTGCAATGCATCCTCTATGAGGTTTAGGTCTGGAGATTGACTTGGCCAGCTTGAATCCTTTTTACTTTGTCTCAGTGGGTCCAAATACAATTCGGGAAATGCAAAATGACGAAAAGAACTAGTCAAGTGCAAGAAATGAAGGAAGCTGCAATATAATGGCAAAAAGATTTGCTCCCTGGCACATACGCTAACGTGACTCCGAAAACGGCACGGTTCCGATCCTTCAAATCTTGGTCTGGCTTTGACTTCCACGGTCGAATTTATCCGACATCTAACGATGCGCCCCGGTCCTGCGACTCGAACTACCTTGGTGTTGATTCATATCAGCGCTCCTCACAAGGTTAAAGAAAATTTCTCTTTTTATTTGTTTGGTTTTTTTCAAGCCCTGCCATGCCAATAAACAATCAGCGCATTAAGTGGCGTGCAAATGGAATCAATTCATGCGGCTTTGTGCAGATGAGTGCAGAAAAAAAAAAGGCAGGGCGCGAAGCGGCCGCTCTCTGTGTTTGGAGTTGCTAATTGGGAGCCCATTATGGGCATCGCAGCGTGGCGCCACCCCGATTGTTTATTAGCGTGATTTTGCCGGGGTGAAGGAGGAGGGAGAAGGGGAAAGAAAAGGGGCCTAATAGTCGTAATAAATGAATAAACGGGTACCCAGTACACACACACACACAC